TAAAACCAGCATCACAAATGTATCTGCTAGACAAAAACACCTTCTAATATTTGGCTTTTCACGTTAACTAAAACATCAAGTTTCGGGTTGGCCAAATAACTTACAATTTAGTTTTAAAAACCAAGCCAAAAATGTACGGAGAAATGGCAAATGGAGTTTAATCCGGTTGAGTGTGAGATGCTGCACTTTGGGGGAATCAAATGTTAAGGAAAAGTATACAGTTAATGGCAGGACCCCGAATAGCATTGATGTACAGAGGGATCTTGGGAGTTCAAGTCCAAAGCCCCCCCGAAAGTGGCCACACAAGTAGATAGGGTGGTAAAGGTGGCATGCTTGCTTTTATTGGCCTGGGAATTGAGTACAAGGGTCAGAATGTCATATTGCAGCTTTGTAAGGCTTTGGTTGTGCCACACTTAGTATTGCGTTCAATTCTGGTCACCTCATTACAGGAAGGACGTGGAGGCTTTGAAGAGGATGCAGAAGAGTTTTACCAGGATCCTGCCTGGATTAAAGGAAATGAGCTATAAAACAAAAGGCTAGTGGAACATGGGTTGTTTTCACTAGCAGCAGAGGCCGAGGGGAGACTTGATAGATGTCTATAAAATTATGAGATGCACATAGGGTTGACGGTCAGAATCTTTTCCCCCCTAGTGTTGAAATGTTTAATACTAGAGGGTGTGCATTCAAGGTGAGCAGGGGCAAATTCAAAGGCAATGTGAGGGCAAATTTTTTTAAAAAACACACAAGTGGTAGGAGCCTGGAACCCGCTGCCGTGGTGGTGCAGGAGAGATACAATAGGGGCGTTTAAGGGACTTTTAGATAAGCACATGATTATGCAAGGAATGGAGGAATATGGACCAAAGGTAGACAGAAGGGATTAATTTAATTTGGCATCATGTTCAGCACAACATTATGGGCCAAAGGGTCTGTTCTGGTGCTGTATAGTTCTGTGTTCTAACGAGGCAAACATGCACATGAAAGAAGGGAATTATAACCTTGAAAACATGAAGTGTTTATAAAATCATGAGGGGCATGGATACGGTGAATAGCCAAAGGTGTTTTTCCCAAAGTAAGGGAGTCCAAAACTAGACGGCACAGGTTTAAGATGAGACAGGAAAGACATAAAAGGGACTTAGAGGGGCAACTTTTTCATGCAGAGAGCGGTGCACATCTGGAATGAACTGCTAGAGTAAGTGGAGGAGGCTGGTACGATTACAATATTTGGAAGGCATCTGGATGGGTGTATGAATAAGAAGTGCTTAAAGGGATATGGGACTAGATTAATATCAGATAGCTGGTCAACATGGATAAGTTGGACCAAAGGGTCTGTTTTGGTGCTGTACATCTTTAATTCATGTTAAGTTGCATGGTTAGGAGACCTTCAAATCTCAGCATGGTTAAAATAACTGAATAGATGTAGTCAACTTGGGCACAAAAACTGCTAATTTAATCTGAACATTTTTAATCCAATTTTTCACTGCACTATGGCCAAGGCACTTAGATATTCTTAAAAACAACAGGAATAGTTGTGCGAAGAACTGGGTATTAGTTGAGTGGCACAAACACCAGGTTGGTACATAAAAGCTGCCAAAGTAGCAGCAACAGGTCAAATGACCTGTGTAACACGATGTCCAAGTTTTTCTTGCTGTGTCTGAAAACCAATGAAACCTGCCCCAGTTTCTGCAATGAGTGCACCAAAATGATAGTTATCTTCAAACAACTATAATCTTCAACATTAGCGCAGAAAAAGACAGGTAATGTGGTATGTTAATTAACTGTTTAATAATCATCAAGGCTTCTCTGCACTCAAAAACCTTCATGTGACAAGTACAGAATTAAACTTTTGTAAACAACAATCTTGCATCTGTCAATATTAATTGTGTCAGCATGACCATATTAGCCATGTTTATTTTCAATGAATTAATATACGTAGGAAGCCGACATCAATGAGTAACTATCAGAAGCAACTGGAACAAAATTTTTGCTCCAGTGACAATGTTTCTTCCAAATGACAACCGTGAATTTTAGCAGCTTTCAACCAGAAGGTTCTGACAAGGGTAGTGGGAATTCCCAGTGAGACAGGCTCGCTGAGGAGCAAAATGATCAGTGTAGCCAAAACATTCACTGAAAAGTACAAATCTAAAATTTTAAGGGCACTTTGAAATTTAAAAATTAATTTGAGGTACAAGTCCTTATAATCTTGCATAGGATGCTCGCATCACAAGATATTTGAATTCTTGATTTATTAAGTGTAAGGTTGATCAATGGCTGTTGAACAATACACCATTCCTATGCACGAGAAACCGTGCTGATCAGTTCAGCTTCCACTTCAAGCAAAATCCAAATGTCTAGTCTTGCAGTCATGCTACATAAGGCTGCAGCAGTGCACACCCTCTCTGAAGGAAACAGTAAAGAAACTGCATGAATTTTTGTTCAAGTAATTTAGACTTATGGTTGTCACTATTTCATCCTATGCATCTGCAGATATCTCTCAGGTAAACAGTCCTTGAACATTATAGTCTGCTAACAGTTAAGATCATTTTATCTGGATTGATGTAACTTTTCCAACTAGAATGCAGTAAAACAAAACTTGTTCCACTCCACTTTCATTCCAAATAATCTCAGCTGATTAGAGATTTCAACTAGGTGGCTGCAGACAAGGACCTAGCCCTGATTTGCCATTTCAAAATGGTAAAAATATGTTTCATGCATTCTAGCACACTCTAGACCATGCATGCTTTTCGCCACACAACCACTGTGACGCTTCAGAAAGAAGGATACGAGCAATTTGCTGAAAGAAAAAAAAGTGAGGATGTTGACCCCAGTAAATAATAAGTTGAGTGCAGCAAGCTAAGCATAGGCAAGGTTATCTCATCTGCTTGGATTCCAGATTCACAATAAATAGGTTTATTGAAAATCATCGAATACAATGAGTTTTCTGCAAAGTGTCTATGGTACCATGAAATCAAGCAAATTAAAATGTCATTTGGAAACCAAACATCTTGTCCTCACCTGTTGCTTGCCACTTTAATGCACCAACCTGTTCCCTGACCAACATCTGTCTCTGGCTTGCTGCAGTGTTCCAGCGAAGCTCAACCCAAGCTGGAAGAACACCACCTCATTTTCCGCTTGGGAACCCTGCAGTCCTCCGGACTCGGTATAGAGTTCAATAATTTTAGGGCCTAAACTCTCCCTAGTCCCTGACGCAACACACCAGGTCGTTACCACAGTCTGCCATTACACATCCCCTGTTGATAGTCACTAACAGTCCCCATGAACAATTATTCACCCTCCCAGCCAGATCATTATCAACTCCTTTGTCCATCCAACTGTTCTTCTCTCTCTTTAGGCTCTATCCTATTGTTTACTCCCTACACCCCCCATCCTCCCTATTTTCTGCACATAAACTGACGTTATCCCAGCCACCATCAGTTCGGAGGAAGGGTCACCAGACCAGAAACGTTAATTGTTTTTCTTCACAGATGCTGCCAGACTCCCTGAGCTTTTCTACTAACTTCTGTTTTTGATCTTATCACCTGTCTTTGATGACAAAATCTTTCACCCAGACACAAGTGCTTTCAAGCAAATGCACAAAAGAATAATCAAAGTTAGATGGCTCAGAGATAGTAGGAACTGCCAATGCTGGAGTTACAGATAACAAGGTGTGGAGCTGGAGGAACACAGCAGGCCAGGCAGCATCAGAGCAGGAAAGCTGATGTTTCAGGTATGGACCCGAAACGTCAGCTTTCCTGCTCCTCCAAAGTCAGACGGCAGTTGTGTGATAACAAATCAGCAAGAATCAGTTGACAAAGAGAAGTGCCAAATGTTTGACCAATTCATGACCATTTCAACAATTTCTTCATTAAATGCTCCCTAGGTTTTACTGGGTTTTTAAACTGGCATGACTTTTAAGTCAAAACAAGATTTATACAAAGAGGACAATGCTCTGCACAACTGATTAGAGATGATGTGCTGCAAAACAATGCAATTACCGATTCTTGGCATTGTTTGCCGTCATTGTGCAATGTGAAAAATCGGTCTCAAATTAACTGTAATTTTGGAGCATTTTTCATTTTGACGTGAACTTCAACAACATTTCCTCAAAATAATAAGTGAATTTCAAATTTCGCCAGTATTTGAAATCTACTGGTAGATCACTTACTTTTCAACCGTGACCTTCTCTACCAAGTTAAAAGAGGATTTGCACAACGGACATAATCATACATTGGAGGTCAGAAGTCACGACACCAGGTTATAGTCCAACCGGTTTATTCTAACTCACAAGCTTTCGGAGCACAGCTTCTTCGTCACTTCACCTGACAAAGGAGTAGCACTGCGAAAGCTTGGACTATAACCTGGTGTCATGTGACTTCTGACCTTGTCCACTCCAGTCCAACACCAGCACCTCTACATACATTTGAGATAGTTTAAAGCACGGAGTGACATGTAATTAGGAAAGCTAATAGAATGCATTGGGCAAATGAATATAACGTGGAAGATTATGCTCGAGTTGAACAGGACATGGAGGAGACCCCTTCCCATTGTGCCCGACCCACTCACTTCAACTGGGGTGGGAAGAAAAGGTGTGGTGCAGAAGAGACTGTTAACTTGTTTTCAGCTATTTATTAGTTATTAGCAAGGACTAAACATAGGAGAAATATTACGCAACTTCAAGTGGGAATTTTGCGAACAACATTTGATTATTGTTTGCCAGAGTTTTCAGGGTGAGCAACAGGAGTGTTAGCATTGTTTTAGTTGTACAATTCGCCAAGTTGTCTTAGGCAGACAATGTCCTTGTTTGTGACAGAGACAGAGACGGAGACAAAAAAGAAAACATCAGAACAGAATTGCCAACATGCCTCATTAGAACTGGAGATTAGTATTTCATACAAATCATGGACTTGTTGTGGCTGGTGATTTAGTCACTAATACAATGATGCAAATGATGGTAGTAATCAGTGGAAGTACCCTAGTCTCAATTCACATTTGAAAGTTCCTACCGTTTGAAAGTTGATTGCAGAAAACTACCCTTCTTAGACTCAACTTGAATTTAGATTTTGCAGCAAACTCAGATGTTCTGCAAAGAAATTTTTTTTCTTAAATTAGTGTTAACATATAGTGAATAACCACAGGTGAGATTTAGTTGTGCAACATGCAATTGTATTGGGAATGATCGTTTCAGATTTAAGTTTGTATACCAAAAAGCACAGTTTAGTGGGAAGACTAATTTTGTTGGGAAACTAGGATTAAAAACAAAGCTGGAAAGTACACTGTCCTGCTTCAAAAGATGGAAAACATCTCAATTTATTTCTCCATCTCCAATACTTGGCCAAATTGTCAGCAGAATAATTGACTTAATAACTGTAAAGTCTTACTGTTTACATGACAATAATAAATTCCCCCTTCGTGAATCCTTAGCATTACATATGCAGGTGGGCAAGCCCTGATATTTACAAATAGAACATCTATATTCCCTTTGTGCCAAAATGGATACAATTGAACTTTAGGCTGCAAAGAGATGAATCCACTATCTCTAGTATGAGCATTCAAATGTGAGCTGAGAGACTGCCATCTTATATATGTATATATACTATATACATACTGAATATATTAAGATTCTTGAAAACATACAGCACATCTTTAGCCAAGATACAACATGTTGTTTCACATGATATTTGATGTTGACCTCATGTATTGTGCTTTGTTTAGTCCAAGAATTAAAAAAACCACAATTAAAAGATAAGAATGGTCATTTGTAAAATGCACTGATGCCTTTTTAGATCTATGATGTCCAAAAATGTATTTTGTTTCCAAATACCATTTTTCTTTCTTACAATGTTTCCCTACCAGTGGTGCCAAGTGTGCTTTCATTAAACTAATTCTGTGGAAATGATCAGTTAGATAACTAAACAAATTGCACAACCAGTACTCAAATGGAACTCAATTTGTTAATGGGATGTGGGTATTAGTTGGCCAAGCCAGCATCAGTTGCCCATCCTTAATTGGTAAGCTGCCTTCTGGAATGGCTGCAGTACATGGGTATAAGGATACCTATACTGCTGTTGAGAACGGTGTTGCAGGATTTCACCCAGTTAAGGGTGGGAGGCAACAGCCTATTGGTATTATCGCTGGACTGTTGATCCAGAGAACCAGATAATGTTCTGGGGACCCAGGTTCGAACGCCACCATGGCATATGGTGTAATTTGAATTCAATAAATATCTGGAATTACAGTCTAATGATGACTGTGAATCCATTGTCAATTGTCAGGAAAAACCCATCTGGTTCACTAATGGCCTTTAGGGAAGGAAACTGCCATCCTTACCTGGTCTGGCCTACATGTGACTCCAGACCCACAGCAATGTGGCTGACTCTGAACTGCCCTCTGGGCAATTAGGGATGGGCAATAGATGCTGCCTAGCAACACCCTCATCCCGTGAATGAATAAAGAAAGTGAATAAACGACACCAGAGTTTTAAGCCAGAATGTGATATGACTTGGACAGGATGATATACAATGCTGCTACTGTGCATCAGTAGTGGAGGGAGCAATGTTTAATGTATTAAATGGGGTGCTAAACAAGTGGTCTGCTTGGTCTTTGATGGTATCATGCTCGAGTGTTTATGAAGCAGCATTCATCCTTGCTAGTGAAAAGTATTCCATCATATTCCTGACTTATGTCTTCTGGATGGTGGATGGGTACCAGGGAGACAGGAGCATTTTTGGCTGCAGGATTCTTGATTTCTACTCTGCTAGATTATTAATCCAGAGACTCAGGTAATGTTCCGAGTCCCAGGTTCAAAACCCGCTGCAGCAGATGGAATCTGAATGTTTAAAAAAAAAGGGACAATGAAGGTCTAATATTGACCACATACAATTTTGAACACACCTATCTGGTTCACTAATTTTCTTTAGGGAAGGAAACTGCTGTCCTTATCTGGTCTGGCCTACATGTGACTCCAGACCCACAGCAATATTGTTCACTCTTAATTGCCCTCCAGTCAATAAATTGGCCCAGCCAGCAATGCCCAGATCCTATGGAGAGAGAGAAACAGACAGACAGAAAGGGATGTGGCAGGAATGCAGAGCTTAGAAGTGATCCCTGGATGGTGGAGATCGCTTAGCTACGTATATTGCATTCTGCTTGTGATCTTTTGGCATACGAGTAGTCCAGTGTTATAACTTCACTGTTCATTCAGAATTCTCTTTCAGATAATTTATCTCCTCAAATGAGGCTGGCAAAAAAAGCAGCTTTAAAATAATCATAATTGTTTTGTCATTGTATAGTATAGCTCACAGCTACAAAATATTCACAATGGCACTCTTGGCAGCAAACAGGGAATGAAATACCAATGGATTAGAAACTTGGTTAAACGTGCTCAAACCGCTCCCCTTATTTGTTGCACTTCTCCCTACTTCGGATGGGTTTCATTTTGTAGGGATTCAGCCAGGAAAGGAAAATATCATGTGACAAAGAGCACAGCTCTCGCTAGTTTTACGACAATGAAAGCAAGATGCAATTGGATATGCAAACAAGCACAGAATCAATGATTTTTCCAAACCCATTGTACACAAAAGTAGAGATATTTTAGTATCTACAAAAATACTTAGTAATTTGAGATTTTTGTATACAAACCTGGTGCAGTTTTTTAAGGCACACATTTTTCTATTTTTGCCCAATTACTGGAATGAAGAATGGAATTCTGTTCACCATTCCTGCTCCACGATCTTTAATTAGCCATAGGGACAATACTCGATTTGCCAAAGGCAAACCTACCACAGTCCCATCATCCATTAGTCTAGCTTTTGCTACCCAGGAAAGAAAAACTGAAGATGCTTTATGATGTCATATCATTATTGTGGCATCATACTATAGAAGTGTAATTTCCACTTCATGTCTTTATACAACTTTACAGCAGACTCCCAGCAACTAAATCCGTCTTAAAAATTCCTCCATACAAAGAATAAAAGTTACTTCGACGAAGGATGAGAAACATGAAACCTGATGATGCTGGACAAGAAGTGGAAGTCATCTGTAGGGTGGAGCCTGCCAGGGTTAAGTAGTAGAGGCCTGAAGATGAGTAAATATTCTGAAGTTTGCTCAATTACCTCTGAAATTCCAGAAAAATTTCATTCGAGTGATGAATGTGAGAATTTTAAACCCAAGCTGCTGCTTGATCAGGAACCAATGCAGGTCAAGCAGAGGAGTGACAGGAGAAAGGAAATACACATTGTAAATTACTGGTCATCCAAAACACTGCCAAAAGGGAACAATATGGGAGATCATTCAGGAATGTATTCAAATAGTTGAATTTAGAGTTAACAAGAGCACAATGAAGGCTACAGCAGATGAGCGGAGACAGGGAATGTAAGGAAATTGAAACAACTTCATTGACGCTGTGAGTAAGATAGGAGCTTGAGGTAAAAATGTAACTAACACTGAACAAACCAGTTTACGCTCAGACTGTTGACAGGAGGGAAGGAGTTAATAGGTAGGAAACAGCATTTAGTGCAGGGTCCAAAAATAAAGTTTCATAGTCTTACCAATATTTAAATGGAGGAAATCTCTGCCTATCTTGAAATGGATGTCAGATAAGCAAGAAAAATGATGGAATTATTAAGACAGGAAGCAGAACTAAGTGTAATCAGGAACAAAAATAAAACTGCTGGAAAAACTCATCAGGTCTGGCAGCATCTGTGAAGGAAAGAAACAGAGTTAACGTTTCGGGTCCAGTGAGGAAGGGTCACCGGACCCGAAACGTTAACTGTTTTTTTTCCTTCACAGATGCTGCCAGACCTGATGAGTTTTTCCAGTAATTTTGTTTTTGATCCTGATTTACAGCATCCGCAGTTCTTTCGGTTTTTATTAAGTGTAATCAGTACTCTTGAAAATTAATGCTGCTCCTTTGGATGCTGTCACCAAGAGACCACACAAAATTTGAGAAGTAAGAGGTGGCCAGATAGATCCCAAGTACTACAAGATACAGTAGGTGCATGAGCAGAAGACTTCACACATGATTTTCTAGTTAGGATATGAGCAGATAGATAAAAGGAAGGAACCATGTGTTAGCAGTCCACCCTGCTGAACAATAGTAGTGGAAAGACATTGGGAGAAGTATAGATTCACCAACCTTACCTGGAAGTGTTGGCAAAGTTCACTTTTGTCACAGTTCCCCATAATAAGGAGGGTGGTAGAAATACAGGGAATTACAAACCAGAGAATCTGACATCAGTGCGAAGGAAGCTATTAGAGAGTGAGAGAAAGTACTGAAGCAGAAAATTAATCTCCATTTAGAGAGGCAAGTTTTGATCAGGGATAGTCAACATGGCTTTGTCAAAGGGAAGTCATGCCTAACAAAGTTACAGAACTCTTTCAAGGAGATGACCAAATGTTTGGATGAGGGTAGGGCAGTTGATGTAGTTTATATGGATTTCAGAAAGGCCTTTGGCAAGGTCCAACATGAAGATGGAGAAAAAAGGCAAAAAGCTCCTGGGATTCAGGGTAATTCGGCAAGTTAGATCCGAACTTGGTTTAGGTGAAAGGAGTCAGGCGTTGGTGGTAGGAGGCATTTTGCGTGACTCGAATCTGACGAGTGTTGGGTCGCTTACTGTTTGCGATCTTCACAAATGCTCCATTAATGACGCAGATGGGGATGTGGGGGTGGGGAGGAGATGAGAAGCAAGTTTGCACATTAAGATGGGCCGGATGGTTATAGAGTCATACAGCATGGAAACAGATCCTTCAGTCCAATTAATCTACGCTGACCATGTCCTCAAACTAAACTAGTCCCATTTGCCTGCATTTGACCTATATCCCTCCAAAACTTGCCTAATCATGTACCTATCCAAATGTCTTTTCAACGTTGTAACTATACCCGCAGCCATCATCTATTGGCAGTTCTTTCCACACACAAACCACTGTGAAAGTTGCCCCTCAAGTCCCTTTTAAATCTCTCCTCTCATATTAAAAGTATGCCCCCTAGTTTTGAACTCCACTACCTCAGGGAAAAGGCTTTTGCTATTCACGTTATCTCTGCCCCTCATGATTTTATAAACTTCTAAAGGTCAGCCTCAAACT